CCTTGTTGAAGAATTTTCTCATTGTTTATGATTCTCACAACAAACTGTGCAGGAGCAATATTTACCAGTTCAAACTTATATATTCCTCAAAGTTATGTCACAAGTGAACATTAAAAAAAAATAACAGAAAATAAAGTTTTAACTTTTAAGTCAGAATATTCCATGTCCGCATCTCAATACATCATCAAAATGGTCTTTTCCCCACCCTGAGGCCCTACATTTGATATGAGAGCCATTTCCTGTATGTTCTCTGTTTTTGTGTTTCCTGCAGACGTCCAGCAGCTCATGGGGATCAAAGAGGAGGAAAACTGGAGTCCCAAACCAGACCAGGAGGACCAGAAGCCTCCACAGATTAAAGAGGAGCAGCAGGAGAACGAGACCACCGAGTTACCATTCAATCCAGTTCCTGTGAAAAGTGAAGATGATGAAGAGAAACCTCAGTTCCCCGAGCTTCATCTCAGCCAAACTGAGAAAAACAGAGGCCTTGTGGGACCAGAACCAGGTCAATGTTTAAAATCAGTTTGTAGCAAAGCCTTTACTTTAAAAACTAATTTAGAAAAGCACACAAAAATACATGGTTTTAAGACTAAAAACACTTTGGTAGAACACACGATAACTCACGTTACTGAAAGGCCCTTTAGCTGCTCAGTCTGCAGCCAAAGCTTCAACTGTAAATCACATCTATCTGCTCATATGTGTGGTAATACCGGAAACAAGCCTTACAGCTGCTTAGTCTGTGGAAAGACCTTTGCTTACCTTACGAGCCTAAAATGCCACCTGAGACGTCACACAGGAGGAAAACTGTAGAGCTGCTCCGTCTGTAAGGCGACGTTCAAGTGGAAAAACATTCGAGAGCCACGCAAGAATAAATAAGGAAGAAAGCCCTCCAGCTGCACAGACTGAGGTCAAAGCTTCAGCCAGACTCTGATTTGAAGAATAAGCTGTTCACTTTTCAGCTTCTCTGTCTAAAATATTTCTTTAGAGGAAATAACCCTCCCAGGAAGACACTGGACCTTAAGCTGAAAAGAAGATGTGTAACTTTACTGTAATTGGAATTAAATATGATGACATGATTTGATTGTCTTGGTTTGAATTTCATCTTGACTCAGTTGGACCCAGTTTAAGGTAATTTTTTAAAGTAAAATCAAGAACATAATGGTCAACCCAGAGCATCCTCTTTATGACGCTGTTATAGAACAACAGAGTTTCTTTAATTCAAAAATATTGTATTAACCCCAGAGGGAAAGCAAATTGGCTTTTTTAATCACTCCTGGAAAATTTAGGAAGATACAAATCTCAAATATGGCAACTGCTATTTATGAATTGAAACAGCTCAACTTGAGTTTTTAATTATTAGTTTTCTTTTAAAGGACCCAATGAAGTCCATTAAACTTTTTTGTGAGAATACTTTTTTTACTCCTTTTGTTCTTTTTTTTGTCTTAATTTTGATGACTTTGGATGTAATCACATTTGTCTGAAGAATAAAAACTGAAATTAATTTAGAGAATAATTGCTCCCAAAAAATAAATTAAATGTTTATAATATAGGGCCATTCTAAGCTGCTGTGGATTAGTTTTTTACTCAGTTGTTTATTTTTCATGTTTCATTTATTTCAGTAATTTGATTCACAGAAAAACACATTGCACGGATGAAATAAATTATGTTTTCAACTTTGATTTCTTTTATGATTTTTAGAACAATTAAAACATTTTAAGACTGAAATGTGGGTTTATTAAATAGCATGTTTTATACTTCCTTGAAGGTTATTTTCGAGAGGTATCTTTAATCAAACAAGCCTCGTAAGATTCTAGTTTATTGAATATAACTGCAGATCCAGCTCCTGCGTATCTTTGAAGTGCGGTTTAGATCGAGCTTTTATTCTGAAGGCCAAAATGACCTGACGAACAGCGGAAGTAGTTGTCTCCTAGCAGCAGAAGCTAGGCGAACGAATCCAGTGTAAAATGTAACTTTAGTCATTTTTACGAGAATATTTAAACGCATCAGTAAAGCCGATGTGATTTTACATCAGTTGTGGAGTTTTTATTTTATTTTTTAATAGTTTTATCTGAATTTCCTACCGGTAGTTTTAGCTTAGCTTGTTAGCTCGAAGCAGATAGGAAAACTCGAGTCAGAGACAGTTTGATGGAGAACAGGCTGATTCTTATGATTATGGAGAGAAACGTTTCTGTTGTGTTTTTATTTCAAATAATTTCAGAAGACAACTAACGGAGATGGAGGAAGCAGTCTATGGTGAGAAGATTGACTATCATTTTGTTATTACCTTCGTCTATTCCCGTTTTTTTTTTTTTTTTTTTTTTTACATTTTACTAAAAGCCACACAGACAAAGCATGTTTATTTGTGGAGAACATTTCAGCAACAAGACGATTCATACTTTAAATAATTAAAATAAGTACATTACATTGACATAATACAGCTAAGTAAAGAGAGATTTGAATACAGACGAAAGTATTAGTGTTATAGATGGTGAAAGGCAACTGTAAACATGTTTTTAGCCTCCATTTAAAGGAACTCAGTGTTTCAGGGTTTTTACAGTTTTCTGGAAGTTTGTTATATTATCCACACATCAGTTTATAACATTAAATTCAAGCACATTTTTGTTGTGCAGCACATAAGATTATGCACAGCTGCAGTGATATAAGACTCAATGCACCAACAATTGGGGCTAATTTCCCTGCCAGTTTTAACTTCGGTCTCCATGTAGTGCGGGTGGATTGATGTATCACCTCTCCACTGTGGGATGATAAAGCCCTGGTTCTTTGTGATTCTGATCATTGATCTCTGACAATAGTTGTAGGTCACAATTGAACACCAGGATGATCAAGTTTTACATTTTGTTATCAGAATAGTTCATGCCTGCATTTTGACATACAATTTTACATTACATTGTTACTATGATATTTATTTTGAGAGATGTGTCTTTTGTGTTTTTTGCAGACGTCCAGGATCTGATGGTGATCAAAGAGGAGAAGAACTGGAGTCCCAAACCAGACCAGGAGGACCAGAAACCTCCACAGATTAAAGAGGAACAGGAGGAGAATGAGATCACTGAGTTTATATTCAATCCTGTGAAAAGTGAAGATGATGAAGAGAAACCTCAACTTCCAGAGCTTCATCGCAGCAAAACCAAGGAAAGCGAAGACTTTGTTTTACCAGAACCAGATCAACATTTAGAATCAGATGTTGAAGATAAAACTTCTGACTCTTCTTCAGAGTCCTCAGAGACGGACGTCAGTGATGGAAACTGGGAGGAGAGCAGTGAAGCTCAGTCAGGTTTGGGGTTGGGAATCAATAACACAGATTCAGTTTGTGAAAAAGGTAAAAAGTTACATTGGTGCTCTGAGTGTAGCAAAACGTTCAGCCGCAGACGATATTTATTAGAACACAAAAGAATCCACACTGGAGAAAAACCCTACAGCTGCTCCATCTGTGACAAAACCTTTACATGGAAACAATCTTTGACTCTACACATGAGGACGCACAGTGAAGAAAAACCTTTCAGCTGCTTCGTCTGTACCAAAGCTTTTACTTCCAAAGCTAATTTAAAAGAACATACAAAAGTCCACACTCAGCATAGGCCTTGCAGATGTCCTGTCTGTAACGCATCTTTTAAAAGGAAGAATAATTTAATTGAACATATAAGAATCCACACTGGAGAGAAGCCTTACAGCTGTTCTGTCTGTAGCAAAGCGTTTACTTCTAAGGGAAATTTACAAAAGCACACAAAAATACACGCAGAAGAAAGACCTTACATATGTTCCATGTGCAATGCAGGTTTTAAGAGTAAAAACACTTTAGTAGAACACACAAGAACGCACACTGGGGAGAAGCCTTTCAGCTGCTCGGTCTGCGGCCGAAGCTTCAGCTGTAGGTCACATCTAACTTTTCACATTAGAGGTCATACAGAAGAAAAACCTTACAATTGCTCGGTCTGTAAGGCGGCTTTCAAAAGGAAACGCACTTTAGTGGAACACACAAGAACCCACACTGGAGAGAAACCTTACACTTGCTCAGTGTGTGGTAAGAGCTTCGCTCACTGTCTAAGTCTAACATGTCACATGAGACGTCACACAGGAGAAAAACCGTACAGCTGCTCCGTCTGTAAGGCATCATACATGTGGAAAAGTGCTTTTGTGAAACACACAAAAACCCACGCAGGGGAGCAACCTTTCAGCTCCACAGACTGTGGTTGAAGTGAAGTGAAGCAGTGGGACAGACAAACACCTCTAACAAATGTTTTAAACTGATTCAGTGGACTGGAGGGAAGTGATTCAAAGTTAATCTCTCATGAATCCACCTGATTTTTTGTTGCTTCTGGAAAATTATGTCCTGAGAAGAATGAAGACTCGTAATTTAGTGAATCATTGACAACTGAGCAATTTTTTTAAAATTGTATTTGTTTATTTATGTGTAAAATTATGAGAAATTGGGCAAAGTTGTGAAGTATGCATTAACAAAACAAAATATTTTATTTAAAAGAAAAAATAACAATCTCATTTCATGTTACTTTGTCAAGTGAAAGGAAAAGAGGGGGGAAAGCTGTACCTGCTCTGGAGCAAGAAAAGCAATTGATAAACTCAGCCTTGTATTGGGACTCATTGAAGTATATTTTAAATTTAATCTATTAAAAGAAAAATTCATTATGTTCTTTTTTTTTGGTTTTATTCATGGAAACTTAATGCTAACACATTGCTTCTAAAGTCAAACTCTCTAATCATACTGTTCATGTGTAAATTTCAACAGTTCCATTTAAATCAGCTACACAGATCATTATAACAAATGTTTCTTTACAAGAACTATTGGAAAATGTATTTAAGATAAATCTCTGACTGCATGATAAATAAATTATTCACCCTCTTGGCCTCGAGATGGTGCTGTAATATCATCAGGTGTTACTGGTCTCCACTCTACCATCATTGGTTTGTTTGGGATTCCTCCTTATATAAACATTTTAATTTTTCAAATGAAGCTAACTTTAGTTTCAGACTGTTTATGAAAGTTGTGGACATTTTGTACATGGTGCATTTACTGATTAGGATTTTAGGTTTTTAAATCTATTGAAAAGAAATCCAATAAAGTTTGTTCAATAGACAACCTGTCTTTAAAAATTACAGTTGGATAAAATTCATCCTATTTAAGTAGATATGAACTGGGCCTTTTGGGCTTTTTAAGTGCATTAAGATAACATTTGTCGAGGATTTGTGCTATATGAATGTGACTGCATTGAATGAAATCAGACGATTATCAAAACAATAATTCATGAGTAGAAAAGGAGGCTTCATGGACCCAGAGGAGGACCACAGAGAGAGGAAGAGGAAGTTCAAGCCATCTCTCCCATCAGTCATAATGTATCAGATCCCCAACTTCAACATCTAATCAGACAGACATTTAAAGAAAAGCAGACAAAGTGGATTAGCACAACTTGACAACAACATATGGTGTCATCCAGGATATGTTACTGTGTAATATCGTCTCCTCAATGGAGAAACGGAGCTGTTAACACGTCATGACTGTTATTCAGCAACAGTGTCTTCAGTCAGAGGCTTCTTCAGATTTGCTGCAAGACTGACAGCTACCAGAGATCCTTTCTGCCCAAAGCATCACCACCACAACTCTCTGAAGATGCTTGGATGATCAGAGTTAAGACAATATTTAATTTTTCTTTTGGATGAATGAAAAAATGTTTTAATTGAATTGAAACGGGTCATATTTATTAGCCTTTATCAAAGAAGCAGTTGGGGTCAAAAACGCTCCTTTCTATATTTTTTAAGTTGACTCCCGTTAGACTTGGCCTCAACTGATGTGTCTGCGTATAATTATAGGTGATCCATGTAACATTACGTGAAATGGAAAGTGTTTTAATTTATAATTCAGATCAAGCTTTTATTTTGAAGGCCAGTATGATCTGAAATCCAACGGAAGTGATTGCCTCCTAGCAACATGACCTCCGTCATCAACGTTTCGTTTACCCTCTTTTAATAAGTGAAAATCGCAATTTAGTAGTCTTTCGATTATAATATATACATTTCACAGTATTCAAACTTTTTCACCGCTGATATGAGAGATTTTTAGTGTTAATTTTCCTCCCGGAAGTACTGGAAGCGTCGAGTGTTAGCTTAGCATGTTAGCCGGAAACGGACGGATTATTTTCTGAAGGAGTTTAAGGAAAGTTTTAACTTAGATTGTGTGAAACCCTCTGAAGGTCTCGAGATTGAAGAAAACACAGAAGAGATGGAGGAACCGACCCAGCGTGAGGAGACAGACTTTAAGTGTGAAGGTGATTTTCTTCTTTACCGCTCTTTAAATGTTTACATACCGCAGATGGCTAGTTTACTCCTTCAAAAACCAAAAAACTACCAGTTAACTTTAAAACTGAAATAAAGTAATGCTCACTATGAAGTCCAGACCTGGAATTGGATGCATAGATAAAATAATCGTTATAAAATCTAGATTTTAAAAAGTGTGCACACAGGTTAGTCCGGTTCCCCGAGTTGTTAAGCGTGACTAAAGGAAAAATATCCCAACTTCCTTCATCTGGTTGTGCAATAACGTGAAAGTTCCTTTAGATCTTCAAAATTAGATCAGCTACAATGAATGTGTTTATTATGCAAAATAATCAAAAGTGGATAGTAAATAATTACATTTGCTCAATTACATTTATTTGAGTAACATTTTGTGAAAATAAATAAATTAATAAACTCTTAGAAGTAATTTTACTACACCATACTATTTACTTTTATTTGGGTAGTATTATTCTGAAGTATCACTACTCTCACTTGAGTGAAATGTCTGAATACTTTACTCACTGTAAGTAACGTCGCTTAATGAAAGATAAACATTTTAACCAATAATGCAGTAGATACGAAACTATTTGTTGAAGTGAGACCTCCTGTTTGTACACAAGCTTTGTTTTTCCATCGTTATGTATCTGCTGAGTCTTTCGTAGATCATGAAGATACACTAAAAACTAAATACTATCAATGGAAATACTTAGATATATACTTCTTATCAGAAGTACTAGTTCCACTAGTTTATATTGAAAATATTTGATTAGAGAAATGGTACGTTCAGTCAGAGGCTTCTTCATATTCGCTGCAGTACAGACCTCTACAAGAGATCTCTCCTGCCAACAGCTATCATCATCTACAATAACTCTTTGATTAATTTTAATTAATTTGAGTTACAGCAACATTTAATTTCCCTTTGGGATCCATGAAGGATTTTTGAATTTGAATTTATACCTTTTGCATATTTGTTTGTAATTATGTTTTTGTATATTTCTTTCATTTTATTCTGTAAATATCAGAATTTGCACATAACTATGACATTATTTTCAAATATTAAACCAGATGTTATGATCAGTTACTTAATGCCCAAGTTTCCTTTTTATGAAATACTTTTTTACCTTTACTGTAATGACTTCTCTGATGGCTAAGTTTTACTTTTACTTGACTACAAATGGGTTGAAGTAGTGCTACTCTTACTGGAGTACAATTTTTGGGTACTGAATCCACCATGTTTGTTTCCTGCAGATGTCCAGCAGATGATGGAGACTAAAGAGGAGGAGAACTGGAGTCAGGACCAGGAGGACCCAAAACCTCCACAGATTAAAGAGGAGCAGGAGGAGAATGAAATCACTCAGTCGACGTTTGGTCCTGTTCCTGTGAAGAGTGAAGAAGATGAAGAGAAACCTCAGCTCTCAGAGCTTCATCACAGCCAAAATGAGAAAAACAGACACTCTGTGAAACCAGAACCAAATGAACGTTTCAAATCAGACGACAGAGATTCAGATTCCTCTGAGACGGATGTAAGCGATGGAAACTGGGAGGAGAGCAGTGAAGCTCAGTCAGGTTTGGGGTCTGGGTCAAATAAAACACTTGGTGCTTCTGGGAAGACTAAAGATGATGAAGAGGAAGAGCTTCATCACAGCCAAACTGTGAAGAACAAAAACTCTGTGGAACCAAATGAATGTTCAAAATCAGATGATGAAGATGAAACTTCTGATTCTTCTTCAGTGTCTTCAGAGACGAATGCCAGTGATGGAAACTGGGAGGAGAGCGGTGAAGCTCAGTCAGGTTTAAACTCCACGACCAACAGGGAGTCCTCTGGTCGTTTCAGCTGCTCTGAATGTAGTAAAACCTTCACTCGCAGACAGTATTTATCAGAACACCAGAGAATCCACACAGGAGTGAAACCCTTCAGCTGCTCCGTCTGCAGCAGAGCTTTTAGATGGAAAAATGGATTAGTGCGACACATGAAGTCCCACAGTGGAGAAAAACCTTTTAGCTGCTCAGACTGCGACAAAACCTTTTCTTCTAAGAAGAATTTGATGGAACACACAAAGGTTCACTCAGGGGAAAAACCTTTCACCTGCTCTGTCTGTAATGCATCTTTTAAGAGAGCACACACCTTAAAGGAGCACAAAACAACCCACACTGGAGAGAAACCTTACAAGTGCTCGATCTGCAACCAAAGCTTCAGGTACCGGTCCTATCTAATCGTTCACGTCAGAAATCACAAAGAAGAAAAACCATTCAGCTGTCCCACCTGTAAAGCAACGTTCAAACGGAAACTCACTTTAGAGGAACACATCAGAACCCACACTGGAGAGAAACCTTACAGCTGCACGCTGTGCAGTAACAGCTATGTCCGCTACATAAGCCTGTCTCGTCACATGAGGACACACACAGGAGAGAAACCGTACAGCTGCTCCACCTGTCAGGCCACGTTCAGATGGAGACAAGCGTTTGTGGCCCACACAAAGATCCATCCAGTGAAATAACTTTTTACCTGCTCAGGGCATTTTAGTCCCATCTGGGCCTCTCAAAACACAATCAGGACTTCTTTAATCTGTTGGTTGAAATATTGTATTTTTATTGTTGGGGCATTTAATGTTCATGTATGCTGTGCTGAGAAGTCAATGGCAGCTTACCTTTTAACCATGATGATGTTGATACTGTTTAAGCTGATGGGTTACCTCTTTTTAACTTAGTTGTGTGGTTTATTGAGCATGAGCCTGTTTTATTTGATGTTTTTATTCTACCTAAGTTGACATTGCTGCCGTTCCATATTGCTTATTTTAACTCTTTCACTTCCCTGTTGATTTTAATTGCAGCTAGAAGCTCACAGAAGAGTTTAAGTTATGGTTTTACTTAATCTTCCAAACTGTTTTGGACTCCATGGCCCTTCTTTAAGATTCAGCACCTCAAACACTATCCACCTTTCCACCATTTTTTGTCTACCTCAAAACACAGAAATGTAATAATTTTACCTTACATGGTAAAATTGTTACCATGTTGGCCAACATGAGTCAATAAAACAGAAAATATTAAACTCAGCAACTTGTATGATAAGTTTCTTACAAAAAATAATGTTTGGTCACTATAGATCAGTTCAACAGAAACTTGCTTCTGTTATTTAAAGTATTAAGTGGAAGATGAGAGGATAAAATCCTAATATGCAGAGAGGGACGGCAGGCTGAACTTGTTCATTTGGTCCAAAAGCTGAGGAGGAAAAGACTCAAAAACTGCAGCTGAGTAACTAGCACTCAGCTTCTATGCACCGCAGATCTGGAGCAAACTTCCAGAAAACTATGGAACAGCCGAAAAACCGTGTTCCTTTAAATCAAGATTAAAAAAGGAGAGATGTATTATTTTAACGATGGCACTTGAAAAAATGTAAAGTCTGTTTTTGGTTTTCAAAACTGTTGGATGTATGATGTGTTTATTATGGGTTTTATGTTTTCATGATGTAAAGCACTTTGAACTGCTGTGCTGCTGCAATGTGCTCTACAAATAAACTTTATTGATTATGTTGTGAATACAGCATCTTCTGTATGAGGTGGTTTTTATGATTGTTTTACTGTTAAAATGTACCCAGTGTAGACATGAAAAAGTAATCTAAATTTGCCTCCATCCAAAACTGAGCTGACAGTTTCTTACTTTGTGTCAGTATAATTTCATTTATTTAAGTAAATCTGCTATACAGATATAACTTCAGTCAATTAAAAAAAAACAGTAAATAAAAATCAAATAAGTCAAAAAGATATGACATCAGTAACAAAACCTGAGAATACCATGAAGAGTAAAATAAGTTTAAGTGTGTTTACTTTGACTAGGCCCATCATGTCTCATTCTTTTTAAACTGGCCAACATTGTTGTACTTTGACCTGAATCTTTATTATAAATCTCACACTAATTGGACAGTTCTGATCCTCTGGTCCTCGCAGGCTTCAGACCCATTAAATAAATTAGATTATTGAAAAGTGAATTTATTTTACTGATAAATTTATTTAATATTTAGATACATACCTTAAAATCTTAATTAGGAAACCAATTCCTTTACATATATTTGCTGTTAAAATTTTAAATATGATTTACATTTTTATTTTAGTTATTTCATTAACTAATTCACCAATTAGAAAACATTATATAGATTAATAACAGATATTGATGTTGTCACGCCTTTACTTCTTTAAGTGTGATAATGTTCTGCTTACATGAAAACATTGCATTTAAGATTATGATAATACATCAGAGCAATAGAAAAATATTTCAATAGAGAAATGTGGCCTTAATGAAACATATAACCGAGTGAAGGTTATTTTCTAAATTAAATTTTAATTTGACAAATGAATCGTATATTTTAATGTATTGGATAAGACTGTGGAGAATGTTTACTTTGTTTCATTAAATTCTCTTTAAACTGGCCCAAAATTTTATACTCTGTCTGACATAAATCTATATCATACATGTAGTTCGTAGCTACCTTTATTTTGAAGGACGAAATAAGTGCCGGAAGTCCCAGAAGCTATGTAAACAATATGCAGCTTATTTAGCGTCTCTAGTGAATCGGGATTGGACCAATCGGCGGCATATCTTAACTATGCCTTGTTTACGTTATTCATTGTTTCATCTTCTTTGCGAAGTTTTGTTTGAGCTGAATGTTCCTCCCGGAAATAACGGAAACGTCGAGTGTTAGCTTAGCCTGTTAGCTCTACACAGATAGTATTACAGAGCGCAGCGAGTCAGAGACTGATGGACAACAGACTGTTTCTGAAGGAGTTTACGGAAAGAATAGTTTCTGCTGTGATTGTGTGAAAACCTCAGCTTTGGATAAAATACGACTCACAGAGATGGAGGAAACGACAGACAGTCAGCAGATGGACTCTGACTGTGATGGTGATTATCTTCTTCTACGGCTCTTTAAATGTTTGCATGCCACCAATGAAAACAGCACAAATGGAAAACATGATTTTCCACTGAGACGAAACGCTCAGAGTGAAGTCATAACCTGGACCTGGATGCATAAATTAAATAAAGTAATAAAACATTGATTTATAAATGTGTACATCCAGTCTGATGAGGCAGTAAAGATGACAATCAGTTTTAGATCCAATTTTAAAATATCACTATGACTAGAAAAAAACAACAATCACACATTGACTTTCTTTTAAGATTAATCAAAACAAGTGATTTACTTGTAGCCTATTATCAGAGAAATATATTAATATTCTTGGCAGATTTAATGTTGGAATGACCTAAAAATCTCCCAAAAGATAAATGACTGGAGTATAATTTAATATACAAAAATTATCACTCTTTGATCATTTTTTGGCCTAACTGCTTCTGAATAAACAAATGAAACATAATACAACTAATCTATTTTATTAGTGTAAGAAAAGGTAACTAAAGCTGCAGCATGTAATTTATTTATTTTTTTTACATATTGTTACCATGTCGTTACAGTATATGAGATAGATAATCAATTTCTTGCTTAGCATCTATTGCCATCTGAAGAAATGCAGCGCTCCCGACCAAAAACAACCAATCAAAATCAGGAGGAGGGTCTTAGTGCTGTCAATCATCCTCAGGTACTTAGTGATCAATCTACTAATGGTGAAGAAACAACTTATAGTTTCAGGAAAACCGTCTATCTGCTGTCATCGGTGGCTATGCTAACTAGCCTTAATATTTACGACAGGTTCTATTAGCTTCAGCTTACCAGACAGCAAAGGAGAGGGACATTAGCAGCACCACACAGATGGTGATTGACAGGGCTAAGACCCTCCTCCTGGTTCTGATTGGTTGTTTCTAGTTAGCACAGGGTGAAAGCAAAGACAATTTTTTTAAAGATTATCTGTCTCATGCTATAGTGTCGTGACCTAGTGATAGTTTCAACAAATATGTTAAAAATGTTTTTTTTTAAGGTTACATTCTGCAGCTTTAACTGCATTCACCTTTGCAAGAAGTGACCAGGATTCTAATAGCAGAATATTGCAGGTATCATGCTACATTGAAACCGAAGGTGACATATTGGTGGTTTGATCAGTAACATAATTAACCATGATGGGAAAAAAAGCTCCTCTTCAGAACTTCAAAACTAGATTAGTTGTGGAATGGGAGGTTGAAAGCAGTTTCCTGTAACTTGCTTTGTTTTTTGTAGATGTCCAGAAGGTGGTGGTGATCAAAGAGGAGCTTTCTGCTGAGGAGGAGATCTGGAGTCCCGGACTGGATCAGGAGGAAAAGAAGCCTCCGCAGATTAAAGAGGAGCGTGACGAGAACGAGATTATAAAGTTTATATTCAATCCTCTCACTGTGAAGAGTGAAGATGAAGAGAAACCGCTGCTCTTAGAGCTTCATCACAACCAAACTGAGGAGAACAGAGACTCTGTTGGACCAGAACCAAAACAATATGTAGAATCAGATGTTGAAGATAAAAATGTAGGTTTGTCTTCAGATTCCTCAGAGATGGACATCAGTGATGAAAACTGGGAGAAAAGCAGTGAAACTCAGTCAGGTTTTGGATCTGGGAAAATTAAAAAAGTTCTCTTTGGTGAAAGAGGTTTTAGTCCTGGTCCTCTGGAGAGTGAAGATGATGAAGAGAAAGCTCAGCTCACAGTGCTTAATCATGACAAAACTGAGGAGAACAGAGACTCTGTAGAACCAGATGAATGTTTAGAATCAGATCCTGAAGACAAAATTTCTGCTTCAGAGACAGACGTCAGTGATGGAAACTGGGAGGAGAGTATTCAAACTCAATCAGTGACCAACAGGGAGTCCTCTGGTCGTTTCAGCTGCTCTGAATGTAGTAAAACCTTCACTCGCAGACGATATTTATCAGAACACCAGAGAATCCACACAGGAGTGAAACCCTTCAGCTGCTCCATCTGCAGCAGAGCTTTTAGATGGAAAAATGGATTAGTCCGACACATGAAGTCCCACAGTGGAGAAAAACCTTTTAGCTGCTCAGACTGCGACAAAACTTTTTCTTCTAAGAAGAATTTGATGGAACACACAAAGGTTCACTCAGGGGAAAAACCTTACACTTGTTCCATCTGCAACACATCTTTTAAGAGAGCACACACCTTGAAAGACCACATCAGAACGCACACTGGAGAGAGACCCCACAAGTGCTCAATCTGCAACCAAAGCTTCAGGTACCGGTCCTATCTAGTTGTTCATATAAGAGGTCACGCAGAAGAAAAACCGTTCAGCTGTCCCACCTGTAAAGCAACGTTCAAACGGAAACTCACTTTAGAGGAACACATCAGAACCCACACTGGAGAGAAACCTTACAGCTGCTCACTGTGCAGTAAAAGCTACGTCCGCTATATAAGCCTGTCTCGTCACATGAGGTGTCACACAGGAGAGAAACCGTACAGCTGCTCCACCTGTCAGGCCACGTTCAGATGGAGACATGCCTTCGTGAATCACACAAAGATCCATCCAGCGATATAATCTCTCAGCTGCAAAGCTTCAGTTGGTCTCTAACATTGGGGAGGAGAAAAACAAAGAACACTTTCCAGCTGGTCTGTTAGTAAAACAGCATTTCAAAGAACCTAAACTCTGTAGGATGACATTGAAAGTAAATATAAAGAGAAGTTGTTCAACTTTAACATTTTTTGTACATAAACCTAGTTGTAACATTATAGTTGTATTGCAATTAATTAAATTGTTATGAACTTAATGTAACTCTTAAAATTATTGTGAACTGGCGCCACTTAAATAAACTGAATTGTTCTTATAGTTCTGCAGCTAACGAAAGTCTGCTGAGATGTTTGGAGATCTTCCAGGGATCAAACTCATATTACTTAGTAAAAATCACTGATGCAGAAGGGAAAAACACATCTACTATATGTGTCATGTCTGACTTAGCTGTATGTATTAAATATATAGCCTACAATAAACATTTGTGTTCTGAATCTCATGTTTGATTTTAAGAGCATAAAACATTTTCAGATTTGACATTTTCAAGACCCAGTAAAATATTTCCATGAATAAAGTTCCAGTAATAGTGGGTTGAAGATCACAGGGTGAAAATTCAGACTAGATGTTTCTGATTTTTTTAAATATATATATATATATATATATATATATATATATATATATATATATATATATATATATATATATATATATATATATATATATATATATACACACGTCATAAAAAAACTAAACATTTTAATAGATAAATGTGGGTTGAATTATAAGTACGTACCCGTTTAAAAGTTATTTTGGAAAGGTACTTTTAATCGGACCCAGCGCGAAATCAGAGCACACATTATTCTAACTGTAAATGCAGCCGTTGACGCACAAGCTTTTAGTTTGAAGGACTCGATCACTACCGGAAGTGGCGGTAGCTATTTAAACAAATCGGAGCTCATTCAGCAAGTCTTGCGAATCGGTGTTGAACCACCCTTTGGCGTGTCCGAAAATATACTTATAATGTGTTTATGTTGTTTTTATTCTCCTCGTGAAGTTTGGTTTTATCTGATTTTTTTTTCTCTCCCGGAAGCAGCAGAAGCGCGTAGAGTTAGCCTAGCCTAGCCTGCGAACTGGAAACAGTGAGTCAGACACATTGATGAAGAACAGATTCATTTTCTGATGAAGGTTAGGTGGAGAAGGGTCTCAGAAGGTCTCAGCGTCGGAGAAAAGACAATTAACAGAGATGGAGGAACCGACACGCAGTGACGGTAAAACTACATATCTCTGACTGGAAATACTAGAAAATATCACTGAGTTGACTAACAGGACTTTTAGATTGAATTCAGAAGCACTAAACTAGATTTTTTGAAATGATCGCCAAGTAGGTAAAATAATAATAAAAGAAGAGCTTCCGCATTTTAAAATCTGGCATCTTAATGTAAAAAGAAAACGGATTGAATTTATTGAGTGCTTTTGTAATCATACTGGGTACTAAAAGCGGTTTTAAAGAGCCACATTCATCGAGCTTCACTCCCAAACTGCACCAATATGCACACTGATAGGCTTTGGTGGCAGCAGGTTTCCTTTTTTCTAATGTAAATATCTTTTATTGTCCCACCAGTGGTGAAATTCAGGTGCAACAGCAGCCAGTTAAAATAAGATGCGTGTTTTCACACAAAGGTAAAAAAATAAATTAGAATAAGAGTCTACAGTAAGGACAAATTTACAATATTAGACAAGTAATAAAGCACAGCTATAAAGTTAAGATTATGCATCCAATTATTGTTTTTAAAATTCAACACAAAATAAATTAATATGACATTCATTCATATCACGACTGCAACAGCAACAATGTGTGATGTCACTGGAATGAGATCCATCCTTCCATTGTTCATGTGTATGTTTTTCATGTGTAAAATAATGAATTTACATTTTTGCCAAATAACTACAAACTGATTGCTGCCACCTTTGGGTCTGTTTCCTCAAACCTTTCACTGTTTGTGTTTCCCACAGATGTCCAGCAGGACGACCTACAGATTAAACAGGAACAGGATGAGGCTGAGGTCACAGAGTTTGTATTCAATCCTGTTGAAAATGAAGATGAGGAAGACTTTTCTCAGTCTTTGGAGCTTTATCACATCCAGACTGAGAACAGGAACCCGGTGGGACCAGAATCGCTCTCATCTAAACCTCCAGAGGCTTCAGAGGAAAACTGCAGAGAGAGCGGTGGATCTTCATTAGGTGTTATGAGTGCGAAAAAGGTCTACAGCTGCTCTGAATGTGGGAAAACCTTCAACAGCCGACCATGTCTGGTAAGACACCACAGAATCCACTCTGAAGAAAAACCCTTCAGTTGCTCCTTCTGTGACCAGAAGTTCAGCAGGAGGGAAAGCGTAACTCGCCACATGAGGTGTCACACTGAGGAAAAACCTTTCGGCTGCTCAGTTTGTGAACAAAAGTTCAGCCGAAAGGAGAGTCTGACGTATCACATGACCTACCACACTAAAGAAAAACCTCACAGCTGCTCCATCTGTAACAAAGCTTTCACTTCAAAACGAAATCTGATGGAGCACGGGAGAATCCATACGGATGAAAGGCCGTTCAGCTGCTCTATCTGCAAGGCTACTTTCAAGCGGAAATACACACTGGTGGAGCACACTAGAAGCCACACCGGACAGAAACCGTACAGATGCTCACTGTGCGGCCAGAGCTTCAGTCATGGCATCAGCCTGACCCGTCACATGAGGTGTCACACGGGACAGAAACCCTACAGTTGTCCCATCTGTAAGGCTGCTTTCAAACTCAAGAACGCCTTGACGGAGCACACCAGGATTCACACTGGAGAGAAACCATTCAGCTGCACTGTCTGTAAGGCTGCGTTCAGGAGGAACCAGGACGTTGTGAAGCACACCAAGATCCATGCAGGTTTTTCTTTTTCTCTTTCTTTCTTTTCTTCTCACTCGTTCTTTCTGGCTTTCTTTCTTTCCTTCTTGTAGTAAATTCTGATGTCAATGTATATTAATTGAAAAAATAAATGTGTGAACATTAAAAATAAACATTTTCTTTCATTTTCTTCTCTTTTCTTTTCCTTGTTTCTGCAGGTGTCCAGCAGCTGTTGGTGATTAAAGTGGAGCCTTCGCATCAGGAGAGCAGTTCTAGTCCCAAACTGGTCCAGGAACAGCCTAACCCTCAACAGATTAAGGAGGAAAAGGAGGAGGCTGAGATTACAGAGCTCAGATTACCTGCCATCCCCGTGAAGAGCAGAGATGTTAAAAACAAATCTCTGTTGTCACAAATTCATCCCAGTCAAGCTGAGGAGAGCATAGACTCTGTGAGCCTGGAGCCGAGTCTAGATCAGCATTTAGAGTCATCCTGGGATAAGGAGCCGGGTTTAGACTCTCTGCAGAACGGCCCAGTTAGCGAAATTGCCTGCGAGAGTGGCAAGAAGCTCCACAGGTGCTCCGAGTGCGGTAAAACTTTTAACCACAGGGCAGATCTGTTGAGACACAACCGAGTCCACACAGGAGAGCGACCCTTCGAATGTTCAGTTTGTAACGCGGCGTTTAGAAGAAAATACACACTAGCAGAGCACATGAGGACACACACCGGAGAGAAACCGTACAACTGCTCCCTTTGTGAGCAAAGCTTTGGCCGTAAGTCCAGTCTCACCTGCCACATGAGCTGTCACAGCGCAGAAAAACCTCTCCAATGTTCACTTTGTGAGGCCAAGTTTAGGGATAAACATGATCTTGTTGAACACACAAAGACCCACACAGGGTCTTAACTGTTGGGTTCTACAGTTCGGGGTCAAAGGTTCACGTGGTTGCATGCAGTGCACGCTCAAAGAAGAAATTTCAGTTCTGTTTGTAAAAACACAAGAGGCAGAGATGAGCAGTTATCACAAGGATTCTGATTTATCAACAGTAAACTAATTTATTATGAATAAAAACTGCAAACCCAGATTCACTCTTGGTTTCATAACAGCAGAAACTGAATCAGAATTTATGAAAATATCCTCTGTTGCCATGTTTTAACAGTAATCCTGTTAAAAAAATGAACAAGTTTCATGTTTCTGAATTAAAATGTTTTCTTTTTCTTTCATTGGTGTGATGTAATAATGTAATGTTGAATATGTATTTTGTTGGGCTATAAGCAGAAAATTGCCATAATAGAAATAAATATGGAAGAGGTTAAAGTCACTGAAAATGACTTTTCTCAGATTTTTCCACAGAATTCACTTTTTTCTTAGAATTGCGACTTTTTTCTATATTTCTGACTTTCTTAGAACTTTTAGTTTTTCTTAGAATTCTATTTATTGAAAATTTTGACTTAGAATTTTTACTTTATTCCTCAGAATTCTGGCATTTTTTCTTGCTATTTTTCTTAAAATGCTTTTTTTTTAGAATTCTGACTTCAGAAACATGAGTTGTGTCGAAATAGAGCCAACTTTCTGGAAGAAAATGTCAGATTTATGTGATTTTGTTTTTTGTGTTTCAGAGGAAGTCAGAATTCTGAGGGAAACTTTTTTTTCAGTGGCCATAATCCTCTTTCATAAAGACTTGAAAACATCAGTTGATGTGTAATTAATCTAAATGATGTTTCACTTTGTGAATAAAAAATGAACTTATCAATGGTATCCTAATTTATTGACATATGTATTTACTTATGTTAGTGGGGACCTGACTTGAATGTCCTAAGTTTCCTCAGGTTGAGAATTTTTTTTTTATATTTGTTTCCAGCCAAATAAGAAAAAGATCTAAAGAATATATCTTTGGTGCTTTTTAATTACATTTCTCCACTTACAGAGTGGTGCAGTTGGTGGAATTGAAGCCTTATAGCAAGAAGGTTGTGGGTTCAATTCCCAGTCCAAGGTCTTTCTCCATTTAGTTTGCAGGTTGTCTCTAATTGATTTCTCTAAATTCTCCTCCTTAGGTGTGAGTGTGTGCATGCATCAATCAAAAATTAAAAAACGAGAATAGTTAAAAACCATTGCTGTAGCAACAACTTTAGCATGTTTTCAGATATTTGTCTAGATGTAAAATAAAACAAAAAAACTTGTATGGTCAGCAGGGATATAATGGTGTATATAACTACATATTTTCCCAAGTAGTTAAAATAATTCTCACCTCAGAAGAATGTCTTCAGATGTTTTTATTGTCATCTTAAGTGCCATCAGCAGTCCAGTTAAAGTTCATACATTTCTGTTACACGCAGAAACACCATGACTGTCAACAGTTTCTTTGCCATTAACTATGACATTGCAGAAATTGAAATTATGCAAAATAAATGTACTTAATGGAAGCATGCCAATTTCAGAAAAAAAATTTCAATAAAGTTTTTGATGAAGTGATTTGTTGACATATCACAACTGATGTATTTCACAAAACTGCAATGAAAACACTTTCATCACATGAGTCATGTGATGAAGTTACTTTTATTTATTGTAATTACTGATAAGACTATATGCTTTTATTTTGGTAACTCTCTTGTT